TCAATAACATGCCTATAATGAAGAAACTCAACTGAGGTTTGTATTAAAATTTTAATTAGGGGCTAGTACTGGCTGTTCTTCCAGAGGACTTGGGTTTGATTCCCAGCACCTACATGATGGTTCACAATCATCTGTAACTCCAGTTCCAGAAGATCCAAGACCCTCTTCTGGCCTTCAGGCAAAACACCCACACACATGAAAAACAAATTTTTTTTAAAGTGACCACTACTAATTTGAAAAAATTTAAGTTTTAGGATGTTTACATTTTGTGCTTCTGTTTCTTTTCATTCATCTCAAAATAATATATATATATATATATATTATAATATTATCACGCTTACAAAACAAACATCAGCTTACTGTCTTAACACTTCTCTAACCATTTCCTATTTTAAGCTGATTCTTGTGTCTTAACTTTAGATACCTATTTTCTAATGGCAAAAGCCTTCCACAACTACCATGACACCCCACCACCACCACCACACACACACAAAAGCTGTTAATACCTATTTCTCTAGACAGCTGACCTGAACAAGGAGGAGCTAATGGGCCCCCAGACTGATAGCTGGGAATCCAGCGTGGGACTGACTCAGACCCCCTGAACATGGGTCTCAGTTAGAAGGCCTGGTTCCTCTGATAGTGGAACCAGGATGGATCTCTGGTGCACAAAAGGTTTTTGGGAGCACATTCCCCATGGAGGGATACTCCCTTAGCCTAGAGGCAGGAAGAAGGGCCTAGTCCTTACTCCAAATGACTTGACAGATTTTGTTGGTCCCTTCTGGAAGGCATCATCCTCCCTGTGGAGTAGGGGGTGAGGAAGAGAGGATGGGACAGGAGGGTGGTAGGGAGCATGGGAGGGAGGGAAAACTGGGATGGATATGTAAAATAAGAAAAATTAATAATAATAATAAAATACCTGTTTCTCTAAGCAACACAATGGTTTTAGCACACAGAGTAAGTAAATTTTGGTAGTCATCGTAGGAAAGATGGGTACGTATGTAATGACTCTAGGAGCAGTATTGACTAAAGACATTTCTAACGAGAATGTACTGACTTCAGAAGATTGCTCTACCTGTCAAAATAATCTCTAAAGGGTCCCAGTCTATAAAGTTAAGAGGGTCTACTAAGGAACAAGGCACAATGGCCAGGGAATACTTCCAAGTTTGCTGATAAGTATGAAGACCATATACCTTCAAGAAGCTGATGTTTGAAGAAAGTAATGAATATTGTTGGCCTGCTTATTGAAAAAATGACTATGTATATGTAATTGAAGAAACTGTGTATAGCACCAATTTCCTGACTTACAAATCCTTGGTGGCATGACTAATTACCTCAATCGAATGGCTTACAATTCTGATTATAATGTTTAGACTTATAAAGTGAGATATGCCCAAGTCTCTAAAACTATAAACGCTGCTTCCCCCAGGACATCACTACTAGCCTGTATACTAGAATTCACGAAGGCCCTCCTCGTACAGATCACATACATTGCTGTCTCTACCTTTAGCAGCAGCACCTCCAGATTTTGCCACAGCACAAAGTGTGAGTTTGGAGCCTTAGGAAAATTCCAATGGGCTAGTTTTCTTTGAGTTAGATATACATTTTCAGTAATTTGACCGTTTCACAGAAAACAATTACCTTTTCCAGAAATAAATATAAACATGTACTATTATGGCTACTTAAATATTTTAAACATACTGAGTAAAAATGTAAAAGATATAGCTTTTTTTTTTCTATCACCTAAGTATTTTTCTCCAAAACATAAGACCCCAAATGCAAACAGATGTTTGAAGAACTGGCCCACAACAAAATGAATATGAATGTGTGTGTGTATACACACACACACTTACAAACATGCATTTAGTTTATGCTTACTTAAGACAGAGTCTTGTGAAGTATGTAAATAAAGTGAAATAAAATAAAAAAAGACACATTTTATTCATCTTTACCTTGAATGGTAGCTGGGTAAATATAGATTTCAATTTGAGACAGGGTGTCACTATGTATCCTAGCTGGCTTTGAATACACACTGACCCACCAGCTTCTGTCTCCCAAGTGCTGGGATTAAAGGTATACACTACTACACCTGGTACATAGTTTTTATTGCACCATATGGACATTTAATCTCTCTATTAGTTAAAAAAGAAAAGAAGAGAAAGAAAGAAAGGAAACGTCTAGAAAGACAGTTGAGTTTTAATGCCACAAAGCTCCTGGGACAAGAGTCAATACTTACAACAAAATCCGATCAGCCCTTGGTCCATCCTGCCTCTGAAGGATAATGGGAGTATGGTACACTTTCATTTCTCCAGTTCCTCAGTTCTGGGCTGGGATTAGTATCTCCCTTTTATAACTTTCAGAGAGTAGTGATGATTTGCCAGCTATTTATAGATATTAACTAAATTATCCTCTATGTTGAGACCAGCACAGGACTGACTCATGTTTCTTAGAATATATTTTTCCATCACAGCCAACAGAGCCAAATATTAGTAATATGAGTAGGAACCAGAAAATGATTAAATGAATGATAGACACACAAGTAGAAAACTATATTAAGGTATAATAAAGGTATTAGATCAATAAGATTTAATGTTTAAAATAAAAATTTACCAACTAACTTCACAGTGATCAGAAAAAATAAACTGGTTAAAAAGTAGAGCAGCATTGCAAAGCATCTTTCAATGCTCGCCACTTCTGGTTTCTTTCCACAGAAGCAATTAAGTGTTCAATAGTCTTGCCTTTATTTCATACTTCTAAAACAGCAATTTCTTTGGAAACATTTCTTCTTGGGCTGGAGAGACAGCTCAGCCATTGAGGGCTAGGCTCAAAACCAAAATTATAAGAAATATTTCTTCTTGACTTTTCAAATTTAGATGTCATCATTTTCCTACTACACAAGTTATTTAATTCCTATCATCTGGGTGGTTTGGTGGTGGGATCTGAACCCAGGGCTTCCACGAGCTCTATCTCAAAGCTATACTCTAGCCCCTTACTCTTCACACTCTCCCTATGAAGTCATAGCAATTTGACTATAGCAGTATTAATGTGGAGTCGCATTCCTTGCTCATCCATCATACTTACTTCCCAGGGAAATTTCTTATTCTTAAGTTTATTTCCCCCTCTATATCCTCACATCAACCCTACATACCCTTTATCACTTCAAGCTGTCAATCAGAACTGTAAACAACCCCCTTTATATGAACAGACATGTCAAATGCTCAGGATTTTTCACTTAGTCTGTTCTCCTTCCCATTGAGAGACCATGGGCTCCCTGATTCCAGGGAGGGATGCTGTTCCCAGACTATGAATTACTGTTTCAAGATCAAACCCACTTTTCTTAGATTCCAACAATGTTACACAATTCTTAATTTCTTCCCTCATTTTGACAGACTACAACATTCAGTAGCTTCCCATAAAGCTGTATAGAAAATAAAAGTATTTTTTGAGACAGGGTCTCAAATGAAAACAGATGCCCACAATGAAGTCAGTATGCTCATACAGACATGTATTTATGTTTGAACACAAATATATAAATGTTATAAAAATTTAGCCTTGATTCAGAATCCCCCATCCCTACCATCTTAAGTGTTGAGAGTATAGTTCTATTCCACTGTCTCTGGGGAGTAGGGGTTGAGGGGTTGGGGGGGGGGATATTGCTTTAAATTGGGCTTCCTTTCAATACTAATTAATATGAACAATGGACAAAAAGGAAATGTCCTGCCTGGTGGGGGTGATGGCACATGTCTTTAATGCCAGCACTCAGAGGGCAGAGGTAAGCAAATTTATGTGAGTTTGGGGTCAGCCTGGTTTCCAGGACAGCCAGGGATATACAGGAAAACCCTGTCGCCCAAAAAAAAAAAAAAAAAAAAAAAAAAAAAAAAATCCCCCCCTCAAAGATCATGGAGACACAAATTATTTAAATCTTCATTAAAAGATGTACTCTTCTCATTCCCACATATGGCTATTAAGCAGTAGGAATGTGGCTATTCTGAACAGAAATGTTTTAAGTACAAAATATACACTGCATTTTGATGAAAAAAATATTAGGATATAAACTGTCTATTTTCTTTTTATACTTATTTATTTTTGGATTTTTAAGACAGGGTTTCTCTTGCGTAGGCCTGGTTGGCCTTAAACTCAAGAGAACTCAAGAAATATGGCTACCTTTGCCTCCCAACTGCTGGGATTAAAGGCACTACACTGCCTGGCATAAACTGTCTTTTTAAAAAAGAACTATTTGTTTTTATTTTATGTGTGGGTGTTTTGTCTGCATATATGTCTGTGCAGTGTGAATGTGCAGTGCTTGCAGGGGCCAGAAGAGGGCACTGGCGCACCACCAGGTCTGAAGTTACAGATGGTTCTCAAATGACATGTGGGTGCTATAGTAACAACCATTACTCTTAACCACTGAGCAATCTCTCCAACACTCACATCGAAATGTTAAGTGACAGCGTGCATGTGTCTGTCTCTATTCTGGCTAATTCAGAATGAGGTTGTATTATACACTTGATTTTAGCTAAAAGGCAGAGAAGGGATACTTCAAGTATACCTCTAGTGCAATCCTTAGCACAATATGAAGAAAAAAAAATTCAGTACATGGTACATGTCTATAATCCCTGAGGTGGGGATGAGGATCCCTGCAGTTTGCTAGAGATCCAGTCTAGCTGCATCAGCCTGCTCCAGGTTCAATGAAAGACTACTTGGAAAAAAAAATGTGTAGAGCAACTGAAGACACCTGATGTTGCCCCATGACTTCTACAAGCATTGGTATACAGGTGCATGCAGGACACACAGATACAGAAAAAAGGACAAGGCTGATTGAAGGGAAAACACACTTTTATATCCTAAGTCTATTTGATGCATTTTTAGATGTATCACAAGCATGCTTTTTACACAAAGGATAAAATGGAAATCACAATTTCAAAGAACTCGAGGATATAATGTATTGTCAGAATCCCTTGGGTCAGTATCCCTTTCTGCAAAAGACAAAAGTATAGATTTACCTTCTCTGGATTTCCAACTCTTCTTGGGATGGGCCATTTTGAACTTGAGCAGGTAGTTGTGAATTTTGTCTAGGCAATGTTGGCCCTATAAGGGAGGGAAACATTACAGATGAATGTTACCATTCTACTTAGCTAGATGGAGGAAATTAAACCATGAGAACAACATAAAACCGTCACATATTAAAAAATGCATCTTCTTTTGTCTAGCAAAATAAAATGTTAAGCTTTACATAACACACAGCAAATGAAAGACTGCAACATAATACTGTCATCATCTTCAGAAGGCTTACTTGAAACAAATGGAAACACCAACAATAAAAGAAAAAAATAAACATTTATATATGAAGAGCTTGAATAAAACAATGAGCACCTGAAAAGGCACCTGAGCTTGACATTCTCTAAGACAATGAGACACTCTGTAACTGTTCATGAGGTGGAGAGGAAGAACTTAAATGAAAAATCAGAATTAAAAAACTCACCTAAATAGAACACTGGAAATGAAAAACAGGAGAGAGAGAGAGCATGAGAACCTCATTACTAGACTGAAGTATGCTAATGCATTTATCAAACTTGCCCAACTTGAGCTGCCATTTCTGTTTCGTGGAAAGGCATTTCCAATACCAGTGAAATAAACATTTGCTAAACTCCCATATACTGTATTAACCTATTTATCTCAATTTTTAGTTACAGGTAATCTTAATAACCTTTCATATGAGGTAAGAAAGACGGGGGAGGGGAAGACCTTGTGTTCACCAACATGACTGCCATGAGAAACCACTGACCACTCATTCCCACATCTATGTATATTGTAGATCCATCTTTAGCATCTTAGACTGTCACTAAGTTATGGGAAGTCTTATTGTCACTGGATATAAAAATTAAGTGAGAGGCATGTTGCAACTAGTATAATATATAGAGACTGACCTAAGGTTAAGCTAGAACTACTTTAATGCACAAAAGTAAAAGCAAGAGTAATGAGTTTTCTTCATTCTCTAAGAAGTAGATTTCTGACTTCTAGTGTGCCACCAAAAACCCCCAGCAGGAATTCTCAAGAGTCTGCAGAGACTGCTATAGGGAAGTAAATAAGTGCTGTGTGTACCAGATCATGTTATAGTGATCTGGGAGCATGCTATTTTATCCTAGTGGAGCAGCCAGCCCCACAGCTGGGAGCAGAGGCTCATCAGGGTGTTTAATACAGTGCTGGCATCTCCCAGGTATAAAAAATAGGAAAATGACCTGAACTCACCTATTAAATTTTTCATTCATCTCTTTACATGCTTTTAGATTGACCATTTAATTTGCCCTCTAATGACAAATTAGATGACAACTGCAGCAATATATTCAATTAGATCTAAGTCTGCTACTTTGAAAACCAACAAAGAAAATATAAATCAACCCCATGTAATTAACAAGAAAAAACAAAAAAAAGTTTTAAAATCAAAGTCAAATACAGACATAAATGAAAGTATAACTTGTCTGATAAATAGAATGTCTGGAAAACTAACACAATGGCTTTTTGAAAAACTCATGCTGCACTGTACTCTAATGCTTACTGTTTTGTAGAGAAAGAGACACACCTGAATTGGGAGGATATGTTTAAGAACCTATAAAATTTAAGGAGTAAATTTACATACACACATTTTAGGACTATAAAATCAAAGTTTAGGCAATGTCAACTTTAAAGACAATTATGCCTTATTTACTTTTAATAATATTGTTTGAGTGTTAAAACTTCAGCCAGTATAAATAATGGGACAGCTGGAAGTCAGTAATCTATCATGCTCACATTTAGAGAAGTATTTCAATGATTCTACTAATGAATTAAACCTGTGTGTTAGCTGAAACCTATAAATTCAAGTCAGAGATGTTAAAATTTCAATCTAACCTTCTTGATATTATCAATTTTGTTCATTTTGTAAAAATAACTCTGGACCCAGCATGGTGTTGTATGCCTGTAACCTCAGCAATTGGGAGGCAACCACAGGAAAATTTTAAGTTCAGGATCACCCTGGGCTATATATACTTACTTACTATCAAACAACAAAACTATCAAAAACAAAAAAACCCCCCTAATAATCCAGATATGACTCATAAAACACACTGAACAGGGAAATTGACTAGTTTAATCCTGGCACATGAGATGAGAAAAACTTCGGAATCCTTTTTAAATGGGAATTTTGATCTAAGAATAACTCTTACAATTCTTTGCTATGTAGCTTTATGATGATGAGCCATTTGTTTATCCAGGCATTCTCAAAATCCCTCCCTTTGGCATTTTTTGACATCTATATTTAATCTGCTTATTTTGTTGTTTTTTTCATCAAAATTGCCAAGCTGTAAAAACTAGCATATTGAAATATATGTGCAATTAAACATAATTAGTTTAAAAACTCCAGGTAAATTATGAACTAGAGGTACACAATTACATTTTCCTTATTGTCAACATTTTAATGGGTTATAAAATTGGTAAGTTGTATAAAAGGGCGTCACACAACAAAGGAGAGCAGAATCCAGGGTTAGGCAAGGCCATGAGCGGCTGTATTTTCTGGAATGTACAGTATTTTTTCAAAAGGGCCACATTCCTAAATGAGTATCTGTATTCTCATAAAATATAAAATAGGTACTTTCATAAGCATCTCAGTGGGCAAAGGACAATATTTTAACATGCATGGTATGGAGGGACGTTATCGGTAACCTTTGTGAAGGGGTAAAAAGGAGAAACCACCAAGGTGCAGAATAAGTGACACTGCCCTAGCCTCCCACATAGAAGAATGGCAACTTCCTGAGGGTTTACTTTATAACCAGATAACTGTTGGTCCTAATTTGCCCAAGGCTAGAAGGTGAAAAGACATGTCTGTGAATTACTTTTCCTAACAAAGACAACATGGCAATGTTGCCAATAAGTATCCTATAAATGATGGAAATCTGATATGAACCCCTCCCTCCAACAGGAATGGCGGTTCAGACTTGCCCTCAATAGAGTTTTGCTTAAAGCACATTTCACTTACTCTCCCCATTTTAAATCTCATAAATCTAGTTCCACATGGACCACAATACAAAAGCAGGTCCTATTACATGTAATCCAATCAAACTTAAACCTGGCAATTAGATTGTAGATGTTACACAAAGTGAAGACCGTTATAATGGAAATCTATTTTAACCTGTTATGTTTTAGGAATTCACCTTTATTAATTAGGTCAAATCACCTCTTTCCCTTTAAAAACAGGTAAACTATCTAAACTATCACTCTACCCATGGGTCTCAAGCTTCCCAAGCACAAAGTTACAGTATCAAGTGTGTTTTCAATATGAGCTGGAGAGAGGCCTCATCACACAAATGTCAGTGATTGCACACAGAAGCCAGAAGAACCCCAGGGAAAAGCACCAGCAGAAATGATATCACTGGTTCTGGGCAACCTACAGTATTAAGCTTCAGACTGGGAGAAGGCAGGAGAGATTTATAACAACAAGTCATAAAATAGGCGCTCACTGCTGCGACCATGAACTGGAACAATCACAATGTAACTTAGGTGACCATGAAATACATCAGAATTTTCTTTTTTCTCATTTATAGTATGCTTGCCTAAACCAGTAAGCATAGAAACTTAAAGAAACTTTATCAACAATACTGAGACACTACACTAAAAATTCTGGATCACATGGATGAAGTACACACACTAACTACATCACCTTACAGTTTTCTCTCACAAAATATTTAGCTAGTCAAGGTATATACAGTCAAAAAGGCATGTGAACCAATAAAAAAATTCAAATAATTTAGACATTTTTTTGAAACTCGGATTTTTAAAACAGGAAGATTCAGAATCAAATAGAAATGAATAATTCAATAATATATACCTGCATACTTATCTATATAAACAATTTCCTTATGCAAATTTACATATATATACATATATATGTGTATGTATATATACGTGTGTGTGTGTGTATATATATATATATACATGTTTATATATAAATAATTGATCAGGTCCATCCTGGGGTGGCTAAGTGACATACCTAATTTAACCATGCAAATAATACATGTATGTACACACATGTATGTTTATGAAGGTGAGCATGACAGAAAACAATCTATGAGCCTAAATTCACTTCTAAGCCACAGAAACCTAACCTACTAAATAGAGGAGGTTGTCACCTGAAACTGACCTATGAAAAAAGTAAGCACACATCTATCTCTACAACATGCACATCTTGAATTCATTCAAGGTAAATAAAGCTCCTTTCAAATAAGGCACATTTACATTACTCAAATCATATGAAAAATGCATATACCTTTTTCACTTAAATTGAACTGAATGTTGTAATTAAAAAAAAAAAAAAAAAAAAAAAAAAACCCTTTTAGGATTCTATTTCTAACTAAATCCTCACTGATAAGCCAACTCAAAAGCTAACTCAACCACAACAAATATCACAACATAAAACAGAAGCTTGCTTTATTTCCCAGATACCACAAACCAGACTATGGCCTAGGAAACAAAAGTTATGGAAATGTGCAAGTCGTATGTACCACAGCTTGAAAAAGTAATGTAAACATAATGTTGCTTACCACAGAAAATACATCGCAAATTAGTGCTGTCCTGGGTAGCAGTAACCTTGCTCTGGGCTGCAACAGACACCTCGATGTTAGAAGCTTCGAAGGACAATGGGGCCATCTGAAGAACTTCACATTAACTAAAAGGTGCTTTGAAATGTTCAAAATGTATTTATACATATGTCCTATCTAGATCCTCATTCTGGAAACTTTATAATTTTACAGCGTAAGTATTTCCTAAGTCATACAATCAAAGAATGCAATCTGCATCTTAAGACTGTATTCTTTAAACCGCTGGTGAAAATGAAGTATTCTAGAAAGTTAAGATATTTCATGAGGTCTACCCTCCCATTTAAAAAAAAAAAAAAAAAAAAAACTGCATTCAAAAAAAAGAAAAAAGAAAAGAAACTCAAGGGAAATATTTAAGATTGATTTAGTTAAGATTGCTCAGTTAAATCAGTTGGGGGAAAAAAACAAAGGCTATCATTTAAAAGGCTATAATATATATTTACTGATATGAGATTTCTTTGTACTTAACAATAACCAAAAAGGTTTACAGAGACACACTTCACTACTGTTTTTTTCTCTAGATATGAATTTGACAAAATGAATTACTGAAAATTCTGTGTGGCCACAACTGGCCATTTAACCTAAATGAGTAACATTAAAATTTAGTTAATCAGGAAATAAATTCATAAATTCTTTTTAGGAAGAAAAATTCAAAGGGTGAGTGGTAACCTCTGAAAAGAGAAATGCTTTATCCAATCAAGGCAATACTCAAAACTGGGAGAGAAATGTTTTTCCTTCTATTAATAACATGCAAAAGGTGCATAAATAATTTCTCAAAAAACCCTTTTCAACAACGAAAAGAGTTTCTTTTCTTATGGGTACCAGCTAGGAAAACAGTTAATGGATTAAATACATGTTGCTTTAAGGAAGAGCACATTAAAGCGAACAAGACAGTACTTCAGTATATTCTTTAAATAAGTCAACTACTGCTAACTACATACAATTCAGAACCAAATCAATTTATATTCAAGGGATTGTCTTAATATGGTAACAATCATAAATAAAAAATTTCATCACTTTTAGCAAGACAACATAATCCAATTAAATCTTAAAGTATTAGATACAGTAGGTACTTCAAACACCAATAAGATTGCTAATGCAAGCTTTGCTAAGTACTTCCACCCAGCCATCTTTCAAAACTGCATGCACAATATTTAAGAGTAATTACATAACCACAGGCACATGAAGACAAGCTCAACAAACTAATGAGATTATACTAAGGGAGATAAATGTTTTAGAAAAATTATGATAATTACATTGTAAATTTAAAGTCCTTTATAAAAATCTTTTTCACCTGTGTTTATAGATACCTAATTATCTGGTTTACCCTTTAGTTCCTTTAATGGGCATTAAATGAGAAAAAAATATAAGGATAATTAAAAAACTCACATGAAAAGCCTGAGAAAATATCTTGTTTCTGACAGCAAAGAAATGGCCCCATCCCATGAGGAATCATTTCAGCAGAAAGTCACCTGACAATTGTCAGAATGCAGGCACCCCTATCACTGCAGACTATTTCCAACCAAGAACTAATCTTTCTCACAACTGAATTACTAAGCAATGTCCCTGCACTTGTCATCTTTAAGCATCTTCTTCCTGGTGACTTTCATTTTTGCTAACAAGAAAACATTGATCTACTTTCTGATAGGGTTTCTTAAATTCTACTGCAGATTGCATTTCCCGAAGATACTAAATTATTCATTCCATCATATGCATAAGGCTAACAGCTTCCTGCTTACTGTTGATGCCATTAACTCTTTCTTTACTACACCTGAGGAGATTATACATGTAAATTCAGTACTACCAGTTTTAATGCTAGCATTCATCAATGAAAAGACACTTTTTAAAAAGAAATTCATACAACAGAAGCTTAATTAGGGCTAAGGGAAAAGGGTGAAATGCAAAGGAAAACAAACCTAGAGCCATGAAAATTAACCAAGAATGTAGAATTTAACAACTTCATGATATTTGGCTTTTGAACTTGTTGCCAATGCTCATCTGTCTCTTAAAGCAATTTGTGAAACAGTAACCCTTCAGGCTTTGCCCCCTGCCCATATTACCCTTTACCATTTAAGGGTTGTTTTTTTTTTTGTTTTTTTTTTTTTTTTAAAAACAAGGAAACAAAAAGTCTTTAAGTGAGTTAATCTGTAATGGATATTACAGGCTTCTTAGCTTTGATCCATATCATTCTATTGTGTGCATTTTATTATTATAATAATTCCTACAGCAGAATTTTAAAACATTTGTGCTTTTAAAAAATTAGCCATTTCTATTATTAATGATTAGCCATCTCAAGATAATTTGTAAAGGCAACACTGTGCATCTCAGCATTTTGTATTTCTAAGGATTAAATAAGATAATGTTTGCCTGATCATTTAAATAAAGCTCTTCATGACCCAGAGGAAGTTAAGTAAAGGCAAAGGCTTGTTCTAAGGCTGAGGTAAGAACAGAACGGAGGCAGGCACTCAAACAGTAGTTACTGCATTTAAAAAAAAAAAAAAAAAAAAAAACAACAGTCCTTAAAACAGACTAAACAGGTTGTATTATGTATTTATGTGGTGACACATGCCTTTAATCCTAGCACCCAGGAGGCAGAGGTGTGAGTGTGAGGTCAGTCCGGTCTACAGAGTGAGTTCCAGGACAGCCAGGACTATATTAAAGAGGAAAGAGGAGGGGTGGAGGAGGGGAAAGGAGCAAAGCAAAGCAAAGGGAAAAAATAAAGAGGCCATGAATTTGAGGGATTGGGGGGAGGGGTTGGAGGGAGGGAAGGGGAAAATGACATAATCTATATTTTAATTTAAAAACATGTAAAACCCTAAAAACAACAACCAAGTTCCAAACTGCAGGGCAATATTCAGAGACATGGAATTATAAACAATAAATTTGTTCAAAGTACTTTAAGGCTGCTTTTTTGTTTTATAAGACATGGTTTCTCTGTGTAGCTTGGCTGTCTTGGAACTTGCTCTGTAGGCCAGGCAGGCCTCAATCTCCCAAATGCTGGGATTAAAGGTGTACACCACTCCTGCTAAACCAATGTTTCACCATTAAAACACTTTTACATCATTATTTCAAATTTTGTTTTGAAACATGTATGTTTAATGAAAGAAAATAATCTATGGGAAGAAATGGAGCACTGTGTAGTTATAACCTCATATGAAAAACCCAACGTCATCTAGATCTCTCATTTCTTTAATCTAGAGATGTATGTACATATGTACATACGTGCCTTCCTCTCCTTTGCTACCAGAAGGTAATGTTCCTTCAACTTAGGGCTTCAAACATACTTTTTAAAAAAGAAAAAAGTCATTTACTTTTTTAAAAAGAAAAAAAAAAAAAGACTGCAAACAATAGATAAATTGCAGCATTTATTACACGGTGCAGGCCCCTCAGTCCACTATGTTTTGTTAGTTCTTTATTTTTTAACCAAGGAACTACAAGACTATTTGTAGCTAAAGAAACTTTAGGGGTCAACTCAACTAGATGCTCAGGGGCCTATAATTTACCAATCCTGTAATATCCTGATATTCTAGAGACATCATTAACCTGTGCCTCCTCATTCATTTAACTGGTTCTTTTTCCTAAGCACACATCAATACCTATACATCAATCAATCAATCGTGTTTCCTGCCCTTGATACAGGTAGAGCATTTTCTTAATTAGAGATTACAGGGGAGGGCCCAGCCCATGGCGGGTGGTGCCATCCCAGGTCCTGGGTTCTATAACAAAGCAGGCTGAGCAAGCCAGGAAGAAGTTCCCCCCCATGGCCTCTGCATCAGCTTCCACCTCCAGGTTCCTGCCCTGCTTGAGTTCCTGTCCTGACTTCCTTCAATGACGAACAGAGATATGAAGTACAAGCCAAATAAACCCTTTCCTCCCCAAGTTGCTTTAGTTTTGGTTTTATCCCAGCAATAGAAACACTAAGACAGACCTTGTCTCCAAAAAAAGCAAAAAAAAAACAAAACAAAAGACCTGCAAACTTTTCAGAAAACTCAACTTGTGTTTTTTCTTGTGAATAATCTTAGAAATTACACTCACAGAAATAGCAAGTCTACCTCAACAACCATTTTTAGTAACTTTACACAAGTAGCACGCTCTATTTGCTAAATTTATTTATCAAACCCAATTCCCAAGCACCTCTTTGTGCAGTATTTACACTGCCTTGCAGATATGTCAACCAAGTATTATCTTCTCTATAGTCTCTAAAGACACTAAGGTGATGTTCCCTAAAAATCAGACATGAATGCAGGAGACTTCATGAAGAGTAGGATAAGCTCAGTTGGGGAGGAGTGCTATGAAATGCTGTCTTTCTTCCAGACCTGACGTAGCGACTGTACTTATACCACACTGCAGCTAACAGTTGCCAGCCAAGGTCAAGGCAACCACATCGGACAGCATTCCAGCAGCAAGCACTAACAGGACTCAGTGATTAAAACAAAAGACATGAAGGTTGGAGAGGGACTGCTGACAGGACAGTACAGTGAGGATGTTATGTGGAGGGAAATGCCCAAGATACATTGTATATAGGTATGAAGCTGTTACAAGATATAAGAAGTTCTAAAACAATTAGACAAGTTATAATCAAACTAATAGCTTTCCCAAGTACTCAGATGCTCAGAGACATAAAATTATATAATATATAATAATTATATAAAATTACAATGGTATGGTTTATTGTAATTTACATACATAAAAAGAATTTATATACTACAAGGGGATAAGGGGGTGTAGAGGAAGTCAGCCAGCTGTGGTAACACATGCCTTTAATCCCAGAACTTAGGAGGCAGAGGCAGGCAGATCTCTTGAATTTGAGACCAGCCTGGTCTATAAAGTGAGTGCCAGAACAGCCAGGGTTGTACAGAAAAACTTTATCTTGAAAACAAAAACAACCCCCACCAAAGTAAAATCATAAATGTACCAAGTGCATAGAAAGCAGAGAGCTTTAATTTTTAAAGGGCAGAGCTAGAAAAAATAAATGGTTATTACCCTAAAGAAATGGTAGTTTC